TGATGAAGACATTGAAGAGTATCGGTTCAAGGACCGAGCCCTGCGGGACCCCACTGCCCACACCCTTCCAGGTCAAAACCGACCCATCCACCACGACTCTCTGGGTGTGACCCTCCAGCCAATTCGCCACCCACCGGACTGTGTAGTCATCCAAGTCACAGCCTCTTAACTTGTTCACCAGTATGGGGTGGGATACCGTATCGAAGGCCTTCCTGAGGTCTAAGTATACGATATCCACCCCTCCTCCTGTGTCCAGGCTTTTTGTAACCTGGTCATAAAAAGAGACTAGATTGGTCAGGCACGATCTGCCTGCCACGAACCCGTGCTGGTTTCCCCTCAGCACAACTTGTCCTGTCGGGCTCTCACAAATGTGAGCCTTGATAATTTTTTCAAAGACTTTGCCAAGGATGGTCTTGCTTGACCAATCTCATTTCCTTTTATTACCAGGTGACCTATCACCTGGACAAGGGAGAAGAGATTGATATCTTGACTTCAAAAAAGCCTTTGATCTGCTATCCCATGATCACCTCTTGGCGAAACTGGCCAATTGTGGCCTTGGGTCCATGATGATCCGCTGGCTGGGAAATTGGCTCCGTGGTCAAACCCAGAGGGTAATAATAGATGGAAGTCAATCGTTGTGGTGCTCTGTGACCAGTGCGTCCCCCAAGGCCCTGTCCATGGACCCATAATGTTCAACATCTTCAATAATGATGTGGACATTGGAGTCCGAAGCGGACTGGCCAAGTTCGCCGATGACACCAAACTTTGGGGTAAAGTGTCCACACTTGAGGACAGGAGGGCGATCCAGGCTGACCTCGACAGGCTCAGCAAATGGGCAGATGAGAACCTGATGGTGTTTAACACTGAAAAATGCAAGGTCCTCCACCTTGGGAGGAAAAACCTGCAGCATGCTTATAGGCTTAGCAGTACTACGCTGGTTAGCACTACGGATGAAAGGGACCTTGGGGTCAGGATTGACCACAAGATGAACATGAGCCTGCAATGCGATGCGGCGGCTAGTAAAGCGACCAAAACACTGGCTTGCATCCATAGATGCTTCTCAAGCAAATCCCGGGACGTCATTCTCCCATTCTACTTGACCTTGGTGAGGCCACAGCTGGAGTACTGCGTCCAGTTTTGGGCTCCACAATTCAAAAAGGATGTGCAGAAGCTTCAGAGAGTCCAGAGAAGAGCCACGCGCATGATCAGAGGTCAGGGAAGCAGACCTTACGATGACAGGCTGAGAGCCCTGGGGCTCTTTATCCTGCAAAAGTGCAGGCTCAGGGGTGATCTGGTGGCCACTTATAAATTTATCAGGGGTGACCACCAGCATCTGGGGGAACGTTTGTTCACCAGAGTGCCTCTAGGGATGACAAGGTCAAAGGGTTATAAACTACTTCAAAACCATTTCAGGCTGGACATAAGGAATAATTTCTTTACTGTCCAATCCCCCAAGTTCTGGAATAGCCTGCCATTGGAGGTGGTTCAAGCACCTACATTGAATGCCTTCAAGAGAAAATTGGATGCTTATCTTGCTGGGATCCTATGACTCCAGCTGACTTCCTGTCCTTCGGGTGGGGAGGCTGGACTCGATGATCCTCCGAGGTCCTTTCCAGGCCAAATGTCTATGAATCTATGAAAATACCATGGATATAAACATATGTACTATATATGTGTGTATATATATGCACACACACACACACACACACTATATATATAAGATATCTAAACAAATCACATAAACAATACCCTCTGAGTAAATGCTATAAAACCTTACACCAGTGCTCCAATACAGTAAGTATCTGATCTGAAACAGATAACCCCCAAAATTAGTATAGATAACCAACAGATAAACTATAGATAAGTATGGGTGAACAATAAATAAGTCACAAATAAATAGAAGTAAACAACACATGAAATAATAGCAACAGAGGGTCCAAGGAGAGCCCTAGGACTCTACTCATCTACTAATTTACAAACACAAGAGTTCACAAAAGATACGGCATGACATCACACCACTTATGGCACAAGAGCCACAAAGATAACCTTAATCCTGGGGGGAAACCCCAATGCCTTTGGGCTTTTCCAAAGCTCTACAAGGAAGCTGGTAACTTTAGGGGGGCCCTCCCACTGGAACCTCCACTTTCAGGAGCCCTTCACTAACCAGGGGGGACTCCCCCTCCCCTGTGGGTATCCTCTTTTCCCTGCAACTCACAGCTCCCAAGCCTAGAGGGTGGCCCTTGTCCTCTGTGCCAAGCTGCTCTCTCACCTGCAGTGGGCTTTGGGTGGTGAGGGGTGGGGGGGTCACTGTCCCCTGGAACAGGGCTTCGCTATGCAGGCCTTCTAGGGCATCTGGCTTGGCCCTGTCTGCTGGCTCAGTAGCCCGAGCACTGCCTAGCTCCCTGGACTCATCCTCTTGCTATGGGTCAGAGGTCTGGGCTGCCTCATGTCGCACCAGGCTCAGTCCATTCCCGGGCCCTCCATGAAGCACCTCCTACACTGAGCTCCCAGTCTCACACGAGGGGTTGAGGACCTGAGCCACCCAAGTGCTCCAAAGATCCTGCTCCGTGCACTGGCCTGTGTGCTGTCTCTGGCCGCACGCCAGAGGTTGTAGACCCGAGCCACCTCGCACAGCTCCCAAGGTCTGGACACCATGCGCTGTGCTGCGCACCGAGAACCTAGCTGCTGGATCTGTCTGCCATGCCCCGCTGATGGAAGTCTTCTGGGGCGCTTCCAGACTACTGCTTCACCCTGCTGAGCAGCTCTGCTCAACTCTTCTAAGCCCCACTCTTCGCTCTTCTCTGTCCCGGGTGTGTTTTCTCATGCTGGGCACGCAGCTCCTTTTATACACTCCAGGGCTCTGCCCCGAAATCTTCCAGACCTGAGTGTTGCAGTCTTCAATCATG